TCTCTCGGAGCTGTTTGCAGCCAGGGAGGCACTGCCCTTGCTTTGGGCTGGAGTATCCCTTTCCCCTGCGATTCCTCCTTTTCCTGCTGCCGAGCAGTGATTCCTTGCACAAAGCACAGCCCAGAGAACCTCAGATCCAACCCCAGACACACTCTAGACCATGAGCACACCCAGAAATACACACAGAACAGGAGAACTTTGCTTTGAAACAGGGCAAAGAGACAGAGAAGGAAAACACCCCCAGGTTGGCCCCATGCAGCATCCTGGAGGGACTCCTGATCCAGCTGGGCAGGCAGCAGGAGGATGCAGCCACTCCAAAGTGACTTCCAGGGAATCCTTTCACCTGATCCCAGCCACAGGCACCTGCTGCTGCTTGCGAATCTTGTTGAAGAGCTCCATGTACTGCACCATGGTGTCCCCGGGGCTGTAGACACTGTCGTGCTTGGAGCCGAACACGGAGGGGATTCCTGGGGTGTGGCTGCCCATGAAGCTCTGCATGAACTCCATGAGCAGGTTCCAGCAGTCGTTGGCAATCACACAGGGGCAGTATTCCACCTGGGAACACACAGCACGGCCCTGGAGCTGCTGGCAGGGAGCACAGTGTGCTGTCCTGCCTCGCTCTTCGTGGCAACATCCCACAATATCCAGCACAAAACAAGGATGGATCAACTGGAAATGGACAGGACGTGCTGGGAACATGCAGGAGATCCTTCCCAAAGGGAAGAGAAGGTAAAACGCATGGAGCAGAGCCCAAACCAGCATGGAAATAGCCCTGAAGAGGTGGTTTATCCCCCTTGCTACACACATGAATCTCAAGATGCTACTGGTGTAATCAGGGAAGTGTCTGGATGTCATTCCTACAGGGACTGACACTTCAGGGACAGCCTGGCAGCAGCTGAGCCCCAAAGCACCTCCCTGACTGAAAGCCTGGGAAAGCAGGTAACTACCTGCCTGCTGCAGGCACAAGTGTCCAGCACCAACCAGCAGCAACAGTCATGACACAGAGGGGATGGGAATTGTGGAATCGTGGGATGGTTTGGGAAGGACATCAAAGATCACTCATCCCACCCCCTGCCCTGGGCAGGGACATCTCCCACCAGCCCAGACTGCTCCAAGCCCCATCCAACCTGGCCTGGAACACTCCCAGGGATGGAGCAGCCACAGCTTCTCTAGGCAACCTGTGCCAGTGCCTCAGCACCTCCCAGGGAAAAAATCCCTCCCAATATCCCATCTATCCCTGTCCTGTCAGTTTGAATCCATCCCCCTCACCCTATCCCTCCAGGCCCTTGTAAAGTCTCTCCCCATCCTCTGTTAGCTCCTTCAGGCACTGAACATCCAGGCTCAGCTCACCCCTAACCCTCCCTGCCCCATTCCCAGAGCTCTCCTACCTCCACGGATATCCCTCTGGCACTGGGGCCCATGGTGACCGTGCCCACCTTGACCAGGAAGTCGCAGTACTGGTAGCGAGTGCCGCGGCTCTCCAGCTTGTTGGCCTTGGCATTCTGGAAGAAGCCCTTGAGTTTGCCCATGAGGGTGTCGAAGTTGGCATCAGCCACGAGGCAGGGCCCGTTCTCAAACAGGGCAAAGCAGCTCAGTGGGTACTCCGAGTTGTGCATCACGTACATCAACTTCCCTGCCTGCCCTGGAATGGGAGAGGAAAAGGAAAAGGGAGAGGAAAAGGGAGAGGGAAAGGGAGAGGAAATGGGAGAGGGAGAGGGAAAGGAAAAGAGAGAAGGAAAGGAAAAGGGAAAAAGGGAATGGGAGAGGAAACGGAAAAGGGAGAGGAAAAGCAAGAGGGAGAGGGAAAGGAGAAAGGAGAGGGAAAGGAAAAAGGAGAGGGAAAGGAAAAGGGAAAGGGAGAGGGAGAGGAGGAGGAAGAGGAAAAGAGAGAGAGAGGGAAAGGAAAAGGGAGAGTAAAAGGGAAAGGGAGAGGGAAAGGAAAAGGAAGAGGGAGAAAGGGAGAGGGAAAGGAAGGAAACAAAAAAGGAACGGGAAGGAAAAGGAAAATTAAAAGGAAAAGGAAAGAGATGGTAAAGGAAGGAAACGGGAGGAAACAGAAGAAAACAAAAGAGAAAGGAAAAGGAAGGAAATGGAAAAAGGGAAAGGAAGGAACAAATAGGGAAGGAAAAGAAAATGGAAAGGAAAATTAAAATGGATAGAAATGGGAGGGAAAAAAAGGAAGGGGAAGCAGAAGAAAAAGAGAAATGGAAAGGAAGGAAGAGGAATAGGAAAAGAACAAAAAGGGAAGGAAAAGTAAAATGAAAAGCCTGAGGAAGGAAGGCACAGGGCAGCAGAGAGGCCCCGGCGCTCACCCTGGGTGCCGATAGTCGCCGCCGCCGTGTGGTAGGTCTCGCAGTCCACGGCGAACGTTCCCTGTTTGTCCGCGCCCA